TAACTCAGGCTGTTCTGAAGAGCATTGCAAGGGGAGTTGCAGAACCTTGTTAATTCATTGAAATATTAAGGCCCACAGTGACAGGTCTGTTTAAATAGGTGACTCCGAGAAGCATATCGAGGATGTGATTTTTTTCTGAAGACAGGCAGAATGTGTGGAGGTTGGCAGGTTCCAGGCTTGCTTAAGGGAGTTCACTTTCAGACCTGAAGTGCGGTGTAACTGCCGCAGCCTTCAGGAAGCAAAAACAAGCAGCAGTAAGCTCAAATCTTGCTGTGATTCCAAGGAGCAAAGTGGATTTAAAGGACGGCGAGGAACAGAGATCACAGATGCTCCCACTGTGGGTCGGAGGGTTGCTCTTGTCTCAGGGAAGCCCTGATATCTCCTGGAAAGTCAGATGATTTCCAACCACATAGAGGTTTCTTTCTGTTTATAAGGAAAACATAAGTTTCCTATGAAGTGTGAATTTGCCATGTAGAATTGTTTGAAGTCATTAGGCAGAGGAAGGATGAAAAGTCAAGCATTCTGTGTCACCTGAAAAGCAAACCTTGAGACAAGGACTTGAGGGCAAGTAGTTTCGTAGGAAGGTGGCCCCAGGAAGTGGAGTGAGGGAGCGGGAAGTGAGATTGGGAAGAATGGAAGCTAAGAAATGTCCACCAATGAGCAGCTTCCCCTTGTGGGCAGCCGGGACTCAGATCCCCTGGACCCTCCAATATGAGGAAAAGATATCGCAGAGATGCTGGGACGTTTATTTTCCAACTCCAGTCCCTCTTTCAGGGGAGATGAGAACTTTGAGCACACTTCCCACCTGCTGTGTTGCGGGGGTGGCTTGTCCTCCCTGCTGGGCTGGAGCACAAGCTTTTTCTCGGGACCCTAATCCAGATTTGTCATCCTGATTATACCCACAATGCCCAAGATACAGGCTGGAGGTGGCACAAGAGGAAGCAGTGAGGGCTGGTCCATAGTGGTCCCCTGTGGCCAGGAAAGGCCCCCTTGCAAGAGAGAGACCTGAGCTGGGGTTTATAGGGTGGATAACATGGGGGTGGGTGGGGGCTGGTGGAGAAACAGGAAGGGAAGTGACACATTCAGGGCTTCACGCTCCACCCACCTCCTGCTAGTCCTGGGCCTGGCCATGGCTCCCGGAGAAAGCCTTCTTGAGAATGAGTGATGGAAAGTATAGATTTTTTTTTCCCATTAGCACCTGTTTGGAATGTTTTTGGCTGCAAGTAACAGAAATCCTGACTAGACAGTGGCTTAAAGAAAACAGGCTGCATTTCTCAGCTCCTTAGAAGTCTGAGGTTGGCAGTCACCCTCCAGAGCTGGCCCTGGACTTCATGAGGACAACACAGACCCCAGTGGTTTCCTCCTGTCCATTTGGCTCCCCTTAGCCTGTTGATCTGTCACCCCTTGATTCCACAAGAATCACCCAATCCGTATTTCAGACAGGAAGCTGCAGCAGCACCGACCATGCTGGTCCCTTTCGTCAGGAGGTAAAACCCTCTTTAGAGCTCAGTCACCACTGCTGGGTTGCTTGGCTACTTGTAGCTGTAAGGGAGGCTGGAAGAATGGGGAACAGGATTGCAGCCATTAGATTCGACTAGTGATTCTCAGCCCAGGGGACATTTGACCCAGGGGACATTTGACCATGTCTGGAGACATTTTTGGTTGTCAGAACTGGCGGAGTGCTACTGGCATCTAGAAGAAGGTAGAGATCAGGGATGCTGTTAAGTGTTCTCCAATGCACAGGACAACCCATACCAAATAATTACCTGGCCTAATATGTCAATAGTGCTGAGGTTCAGAAGTCCTGGGTTAGACTGATCGTGATGCATTGCCAAGAACTGAGGATGTTGCTCCCTCAAGTGAAACAGAGGATTTTTGTGTAGACTTAGAGCGCTCAACAAGGCAGCAAGTGGACCCATGGGCGGCAGCCCCACTTTTGTCCATATGGTTGAGCCCTGGGCAAAACGACACTAGGTGGGAGGTGAGGATGCTGGGGGGTCTGCTGGCAGGAAGATGGATACAGTGGCATTTCAGAAATCCTCTGTATTCTCTGAAAGGTGTTTGCATAAAATGTTATTAATCAGTACTTATCTTTTATAATTTAATTACTGTGTTCAGGTCATTAATATGACCCTTTACAGTCTCTTCCTAAGGCAGCTGATCCCTAATTTATAGCATGACTCGGATTCTAGGATCCAGTGGCCTTTGTTCCTTAGAGTCTTTGTCTTTTCTGAGATCATTTTGAAAAGATAGGTGAACATCAGGACGAAGAGTGCAAAACTTTGGACAGCTCTTCCTCTGGTTTTCCATTAGCATTTGAAAAATGTCTCTTTCAGGCAGTGTTCATTAAGATTTTAATTTTGCAGTTTGTTCCTTTTTTAAGTGACATGCAATTAATTAAGGTTTAATGTGTCATCTATTTTTTGCTATGACACTTTTACTGCCCCCTTTTCATTTTAGTCAGTTTATAAATTGTACTCTCGCTAATGAGTTCCATCCTGATATCCAGTTCCAAATAATTACCACTCTTCTAATATGGCTATTCTTTAATGTGTCACAGAATTCAGATCCTTACCAGGCAAGCTCAGGTGAGCTGGGTCTGCGGGAGCCATGAGGCCACTGTGGGCCGGCAGGCCAGGGCAGCGGCTGGGGACCCGGCCTTCCTCAGTTCAGCACATATTGATCAGCCATCACATGTCAGACAACTGGGTCTGGGTCTGCATGGGATATACATGAAGAAGCGTCTGTTGGGCCCAGTCCCCGAGGAGCTCACAGACTAGATAACTGTCCTAGTTCTCCACGTTGCTTTGCTGGTGGAGATGGGACTAATGGGACTTGAAATCCTCAATGGTTTCTTTGGTTTTGAAATGGAGTCTGGCTGTTAGTCAGGCTGGAGTGCGGTGGCGCCGTCTCGGTTCACTGCAACCTCCCCCTCCCGGTTGAAGCAATTCTCCCACCTCAGCCTCCTGAGTAGTTGGGATTACAGGTGCCCGTCGCCACGCCAAGCGAATATTTTGTGTGTTTTTAGTGGAGATGGGGTTTCACCATGTGTTGGCCAGGTTGGTCTCAAACTTCTGACCTCAGGTAATCTTCCCTCCTCGCCCTCCCAAAGTGCTAGGATTACAGGTGTGAGCCACTGCGCCTGGCCCCTCAATGATTTTTAACAGTATGTGGGATTGAGATTGGACCAGTATTAATTGAACAGCAATTCCATATTAATTTCTATACTGCAACATTGAAATTTATGCAGATTTCATCAAGTTGAGTTGAAGTTTAACTTTGCAATATTTAATATTTGGGGGCAGTGGGTGGCCTGGGGAGATTTATTAAGTGACTAGTGTCAGGGCGACTGTGTAAGGAGACCTGTCAGTCAACCAATAGGATGTGGATATCAAGAGATTTATTTTAAGGAGTTGACTGTGTGGTTGTGGGGATTGGTGAGTCTGAAATTGGTGCGGTAGGCTTGAAGGCTGGAAACTCAGGCAGGAGTACATAGATGCTGCAGTCTTGAGGAGGAATTTATTTTTCTCCAGGAAAACTTGGTCTTTGCTCTGGAGGCCCTCAGCAGATTGGGCGAGGCCCACCCACATTATGGAGGGCAATCTTGACTTAAAGTCAACTGATTATAGATGTTAACCACAGCTGCAAAATACCTTCAGGGCAACACTTAGATCCATGTCTGATTAAATCACTTGGTATTCTAGCCTAGCCAAGTTGACATAGAAAACTAAAACTAACCGTCACACCGGGCCTGCCGGGTGGTAGGAAGTACATTAGACTGAGGTTAGGACACCCAAGTCTTAGACCCTCTCTCTGTTACTAGCTTGGGGGTCTCAGGCAGGTCCCACAGCTACTGTGACTGCCATTCATTTTGCAACAAGCCTTTTTGAAATTCATGCCCCCTACCCACCAGGATGAGATGTGTTGAGCAAACAAAAATGAATTTTTCTATTCTGGAAAAGCCCACCATCTGTTAAAGATAGACAGAGCCCGGCCAGCTAGCCTGCACTGGGAGAAGCAAAGGACCACCCATTTCCCACAGTCCAGGACCCATGGCAGTCCTCAGAGTGAGGCCACAGCTGGGGCGCCACCACTTTGCGAGTCACTGTTACTAGTCGTATTTTTAGAATATTCTAACCACAGCATTCAGGTATCCAAGGCAGCTTTATTGTCTGTTCTTCTCTCCATTGACAGAAAGCTATAGGATCTTATTTCTTTAAAAAATTCTGTAATTTGGCCGGGTGTGGTGGCTCATGCCTGTGATCCTAGCACTTTGGGAGGCCAAGGTGGGTGGATCACCTGAGGTCAAGAGTTCAAGACTAGCCTGACCAACACATAGAGAAACCCCCTTTCTACTACAAATACAAAATTAGCCGGGTGTGGTGGCACATGCTTGTAATCCCAGCTACTTGGGAGGCTGAGGCAGGAGAATCGCTTGAACCCAGGAGGCAGCGGTTGCAGTGAGCCGAGATTGCACCATTGCACTCTAGCCTGGGCAACAAGAGCGAAATTCCATCTAAAAAAAAAAGAATCTGTAATGTAGGTGCTGAATTCAGGCAGGGTTTCATTCAAGACAGATAATCAAATGGAACACTTAAAAGGCAAGTTGGACTGGGCTAGGCAATGGTGGCTCAGGCCTGTAATCCCAGCACTTTGGAAGGTGGAGGTGGGAGAATTGCTTGAGCCCAGCAGTTCGAAACCAGCTTGCGCAACAGAGCAAGGCCCCATCTCTACAGATGGGCTGTGGTGTAGTCCCAGCTACTCGGGAGGCTGACTTGGGAGGATGGCTTGAGCCCAGGAGGTCGAGGCTGCAGTGGGCCGTGTTCCCATCACTGCACTCCAGGCCCAACTTTGGGTGCTCACATGAGCACCGGGTTCGTGCAGTGGCCGGGTCTAGGGAGCCCTCTGTTAGGAGGCTTAGCTTTGCCCCAGGCTCTGCCTTGGGAGGGAAGAGTCCTTGTTGCCGCCACCCACTCTTGTGTGTGTTTTGCGTTTTGCAGGGGCGGATGTCCACGCGAGGGACCCCCGCCGTGGGATGTCGCCGCAGGAATGGGCCACTTACACGGGCCGCGTGGATGCCGTCCGCCTCATGCAGAGGCTGCTGGAGCGCCCTTGCCCGGAGCAGTTCTGGGAGAAGTACCGGCCCGAGCTGCCGCCGCCCCCCGAAGCGGCGCGGAAGCCCGCGGGCTCCAAGAACTGCCTGCAGAGGCTCACGGACTGCGTGCTGTCCGCGCTGACGCCGCGCACCATGCGGGGCCCGGAGGACCTGGGCGCCCTGGACCACATGGTCAGGATGACAACCAGCCTCTAACAGCCCCGCCGTGGCCATCGTGTGCCAGACCGTGTGCCCCGAGAGCCCCCCGTGCGTGGGGAAGAGGCGGCTGGCGGTGCAGGAGATCCTGGCGGCGCGGGCGGCGCGGGGCCCCCAGGCGCAGGAGGCGGATGAGGTGGGAGGCGCAGGGCAACGCGGGCAGACCGGCACGGAGGATGTGGACTGCCGGGAGGGCTCTCCGAGAGCCGACCTCCCGCCCCCGTCCCGGGGCCCCGCCGCGCCCTCCTCGCGGAAGGCCAGCCTCCTGCCCCTGCAGCGCCTGCGGCGGAGAAGCGTGAGGCCCGGCGTGGTGGTGCCCCGGGTCCGAGTCAGCAAGGCGCCGGCGCCCACCTTCCAGCCCGAGCGGCCGGCGCGGAAGGGCAGCACCAAGGACAGCGGTCACCTGCAGATCCCCAAGTGGCGGTACAAGGAGGCCAAGGAGGAGAAGCGGAAGGCAGAGGAGGCCGAGAAGAAGCGCCAGGCCGAGGCGCAGAAGGAGAGGCGCTCCGCGCCCTGGAAGAAGAGGACGTGAGGGCCTGTGTGCCTGGCGTGGGGGCCGGGGCAGGGGCCGGGGCCGGGGCGCGGCCGCGGGGCTGGTCGCGGAGAAGGAGGCGGCCTCGTTGCGCATCGCACCACGGTCGCTCCATGGACCACGAGGCCGCGCGCATTTCCAGGCTGTCTGTCCAGGCTGCTTCCAGGAGAGGGCTGGGGGAGCCACATCGATTCGCCTGTCACCAGCCCTCCTAGCAATCAGTACACCTAGCGGGCACGTTGCCTAAAAGGCTCCATTTAGAGAACCTCAATTAGGATTTTTTTTTTTTTTTTAAGATCAATTTATCAAAGGGCGTTTTTTGTGTAATTTTGTATTTTTAATCATTATTTATCAAATTTGCAACGTTTTACAAGTGATAGGCCCCCTTATATCCGAGGCAGTTTTAATACACTTGCCTGAAAACCTTTTATTTAAAATACTGTTTCTAGCAATAAGTATTCATGATACCTGTATGAGTTCACACAGACATCATGGGATTCTCCCCGTTTTGGTTGTTTGGTCTTTTCTCCTCATCGTGGGTGTAGGTGTGCACTGGATGTTCTTACTAATTAGCTTAAGTGATGCCAGATAGTTCTGTTTGACAGAGGCATTGACCCGTTCAGCCACATGATCAGGTGAGACAGAGAGATCAGATGTTATTGTATCTTTTTAAAACTCTTATCCATACAGTAATATATTGAGGGAAAACATATTGTCAAATTATAAAACAATGGAGAGATAAACATCTATTTATTGCTAGAATTAAACTCATTTTAAGAAAAGAGTTTTAGATAAACTGGATAGGAAATCTTTAACATTAAAAATAGATATGAGAAAAAAACTGTCATTCGATAAAATGGGGCAAATTTAATAAATGATTACCAGAAATACAAAATTAAGCCATATGTGCTCTTAAGTAATTCAAATCTAGATATTCTTAATATGTCAAAAAGATACAACAAGAGTCAGAAGCCCAGAATGATACAAATTACAGGAATGAGGAGGAGGCGGTTTTTAGAACAGGCGAGAGAATGGAATGGGGAACAGACTTGTTTTCGGCAAATTCTCCTGGAGTAGACCGGGCAGCCCCCTCCTCCAGGCTCAGTTCCAAAGAGTCCCGTGTGTGGGTATTTCTTTTCCTTTTCCTTTGAGGACTGCACTTGGTGTTCAGTTCATCCTCATGCCGACCTCATAGAATTTCCAAGATGCGGGGCCCTGAGCAGGGCAGGGCACGGGTGTGATTTGCCTTGGGTCACAAGCTCTCGGTGAGGGTTTTAAATCCACACTTTTCTCTCCAAAGTCACATGGAGATCACTTTTCTCTCCAAGGTGACATGAAGATCACTTTTCTCGGTGATCAAATTTGAATTTATCAAAGGGGGTTTTCTGCATATTTTTGTATTTTTAATCATTATCAGATTTGCAGCATTCTAATTCGGCAGTGCAGGGTATGAAAGCTGGAAACTCAGGCGGGAGTTTCTAATTCTAATGGCTCTGGCTATGTGGGTTGTAGAGTATCTGTCACATATGCACTTTATTTCAGTATTAAATACTTGGACACGCACGATCACAGGCCTATTTGGAGGCTCTGTACTATAACTCTAATAACCCTAGATACATCGTGATACAGAGTGTCTGTCTCAGGACACAGGCAGGGCTGTTGCAGGCTCCTCCATACTCCCTTCCACTTGGCACCATCAGGCATCGAGCAACCAGGGATCCTAAACTGGCCTCTCCAAAAACTCCATTGAACAGGACTGCAGGCCGCACCCAGGTTAATGGAAGATTGGTGCGATGATGATATGGTGTTTAAGGTCAGATTGCAGTGAGTTCCTCCTTAATCCCAGAAAGGCACCATGATGAATGCCGCAGGAGACTGGACCCTCTTTGAGAACTGCAGATATTAGTTGACTGTGGGTCACTCTCGTGGCCAAGGAGTTGGGATTGGCCATGTCCCCTTTGAGGAGGTGGGGACTGTGACTGACACCGGTTATCTTTGGGGGCTGTCTTTTCTGAATCCTTTGGCATGTGGCACCTTCCTGCCACACGTACATAATTCACAGCATTACCAAGACACCACGAACCCCACCCTCACCTCTGTCAACCGAGGACCCAGCCAGGCAGTGCCACGTGGTCTCCCAGGCACGCTTCTCAACACCGGCTACCCCTGCTGTGAAAGTTCTCAAGGTCCTGGTCCCAGAAGCCGAGCCCTGGGAGCGTCCTAAAGCTCTGCAGGTGACTGCACTGCAGCCTGCATTGAGAACTGCGGCTCTAACACAGTGATTTCGGGAGGACACCCATTCTGAGCTCCCACAAAGGGCTCCACCTTCCCAAGAATGTCTGATTGTCATTGGAACAGCCAGGGCCAGGCAGCTTCTGCTTGGGCTGACGTGGCGTCTGACCCCTTGGTGGGTTGCCAGGCATTCCTGGCAATGGTATGGGAGTGGTATGGAGCCCCCACTTCTACCCCAAGCCTGGGTGTCTGCTGCTTCCATATCAAAAATGGACATTTCTGGTCCTGCCCAGCTGCTACCTCACCACAACCCATGCTCAGAGTCTCCACGGTTGTGTGGAACAGCAGTGATGGGACAGCAAATGACTGGTGATTTCCCCAGGTCCCACGCTGTTCTGGAGTGGACGTGTTGCGGCCCTGCCTCCGATGTGTTCCAGCCTCATCCAGGTACACAGGATACTCTGGGGCCAGCAAAGGGCTTGTCCAGCGATGCTCCTGGTGTCCACAAAACAGCTCTAGAGATACCTGCATTTTGAAAAGCCTGCTGAGCCAACAAGCGTGGGGCAGGACATGGATTTCTTTGGCAAACCTGAAGGAGGGCTGGCCACTTGCCTGGTGAGTGGAAGCTGCTGTTACCTGGCCAGTGTTTGCAACTTGAGGGAAAACGACAGCTGCATGGGGGGAAGGCCTCACCTCCCGGGGAGCTTTGGTGTGGCCTCAGTGGAAAGATTGGATTTTGAAAACCTGCCAGACCCAACTGAAAGAAGGGTCATTCCTGATTGAGTTGGAGACTCTCCCCAGTCCCTCTCTAGACTCATTCTAGCCATAGCCTGCCTGTGGACAGCCCTTCCCTTTGGCCCATGCAGTGGGTCCAGGCAGCTCCTGCAGCTGTGCTCGTGGCTGCTGGCCCAGCACTTCTCATTTTTGCCACCTGGAAGCAGATTTGCTAGTAGAGGAATTTTTCAAGTCAAGGAAGTGTTGCCAAGCCTCTAGCCTCGACCTGTGGGGGGCCTTCTGCTCTTTGTTTCTTGTTCTCTTTGGAGTGGGCACAGAGGGGACAGGTGGGCCCCCAGTCAGGCTCAGGGAGTGCAGGAGACCAGGGAGGGAAGCCCAGATAATGGGGAAACAGAGCCACCTTGAGGGGGTGTCATGGAGTCAGTGTCGGGGTGACCTGACGGGTCAGTTTATACTTAAGCAACATTATTATGTTCACTTCTTTTGGGTAAGGGATTCCTCACGGGAGGTGTGGTCATCTGGTCATAGAGGTGGGGAGAAATACCCCCTCATCTTCCTGAGCCATTTGGAAGCCCTTTCCTCTAGCCCTAGGTACTGGTGACACAGGCCCCTCGGTCTCAGGATGTGGACAGGGCTGGGAGGGGCAGGCTTCTTGTCCCATCCCCACTCAGCACCGCTGGGTATCTGGCAGTCAGGGGTCTCACAGTGGCCTCTCCAAAAGCCTAGTGTCTTTAGAGAACATTTTTCATTTTTGTCTATTTTCGTTGCTTTGAACAGCTGCATTCACTCACTGAGGGCTCACCCTTCCTGCATCCCCAATGTGGTTCAGGGAGGAGGGGACCAATGAGCACCGACCCCTTCTCCTCTTCTGTCAGTGGCCACGGCAGTGCCCTCTCTGGCTTTGCCTCCACATTCTCCTGCCCCCGTCACCTCATCTCTTCTTCCTCATTAGCCTTTCCTTCCTTTGCCTGTTTTCTTCTCCCAGCTGGTTAAGTTCTTGATCATCCCTGGCACCACCTACACTAAAGTCTACCAAGGACAGAAAAGCCAGGGCCTCTGCGAGGCATGTGGTGTCCCTGCGGGGTTATCATGGTGGGACCTCCTAGACCCCAGACTGAATGAGTGGCAGGCCTGCTAGTGTCTGCGCTGATGGCTTAGAATTCCTCCACAGCTGTGCCTCTCCCACCGCCTCTTCTTTGCTCGGAAGGGAGACCTGGTTTGCTCTCCTGCCATGACAGCGCAGCCCCTGCTGTGCAGAGGGATGGGGCTCGGGGTCCCTACCTGCACCCTGATGTTTATTAACTGTAGATAGTGAATTTCAAGTTGACAGGTACCTTCTCAGGGATTTATATATAAATTTATATATAAAAATAGAGGAAAAGTTGAAGTCTATTTTACTACTTTTTAGTGTTTGAGTAAATTGTGCTTTAACTGGACAGAAAAAATATTTCTCAGACAATGTCGATGCTACTGATTACAAGTGAGATGGCTGGAGCCTGTCTCTTATACACATCTAGATGTGTATAAGAGACAGCAACTGAGATACCTGGGGCTTACCCTTGATGGAGACTTCTTGGTGATTCTAGATCGGGGACTTTGGTGGCAGAAATGGCTTTGGGGTGGGTGTGAAGTCGCTTCAGTCCCTCTGAGTTGCCTCTTGTGGATGAAACATGTGTATCAGCAACAATGAAATCCACCTCCGTGTGCATGGAGGCGGCTGATGAGAACACAGATAGGCCAGTCCTCTCTCTTCCCTCCGGAACCGGCTGCTCCCGGTCTGACATTGGAGCACATGAACTAAGAGTGACAATTTTTTCTACTTGTTTCTGTGAATAAAGTGTTCTACAGTCAGCCAGCACTAAACTCTCCAGAAAGGAGGAGGGAACAGCCTGGAGCCGTTCATCTGGAATTACCTCGGTGTGCAGAGGCTGCCCCTTGGCTGCACTGGGGAGCATCGTGGACGTCTTCCGTCCTGTCAAGCTCCTCCTGACAGACTCCTGGCAGCACTGGAGACCTCAGGACTGTGGAGATCA